TCCTACTACTTTTTCATTTTTAATGTTTTTTATTTACTTGTTTCCATTCTTTTTTCTTAAATTAATAAATTACTTTCTGTTATGATTATGTGGTTAAGTTAATCATATTCATGCTAATCACATGTGCATAAATTAAAATGGCGTCAAACTACAAGCCCACGCGGTGCTGCAGCTGGAATTTGTCTTCCATTGTTCTCTGTCTTTGCTTCTTTTTGAAGCCACTTGTCCAGTTCTTGACCCAAGCCCAGAGGGGTGATGTGAAAGCCAACTTGAGCCGTTCTCTGGCTTAAAAGATTTCCGTGTTGATAGAAGAAAGATGAAAGAAGAAGAAAAAGTCTGAAGAATTTTGCAGAAATTTGAATTTGGGCCTATTCTCCAAAAAAGCTCCCGCTACAGTACAGTCCACTTTAAAGGTACCAGGAGAATCGCTCAGTGAAGGAGAGCTCATCTAAGCCATTTATAAGGCTGTACAACGTAAGATAAAAGAGATATAAGTGTTTGAAAATCATAAAAACGGCCGCCATCTTGAAAAACCAACCTCAATCCTACATATAGGCTACCACCTATATAATAATACTATATACTTCATTAGCTATTAGTAATTCTAATACTGCTCAGTACATTTGATGCAGCAATCAATATCTGTATTGGTATATGTGTAGAATTCTTAACTAATGTAAAGAATACTACTCTATCAATTAAGGCAAAGCTAGGAATGCTCAGAGTAGATAAGCACTAGTATATATGTCTATTGTAACTGGATGTGTAGTGAATAACAATCCAGGGCGCCGTAGCCAGGAACTTAAAACAGGGGGTTCGGAAATTGCTGCGCGCAAAGCGCGCAGCGAAAATTGTGACGAAAATGGGCGTGGTTGGTAGGCGTGGTCTTAATTTACGCATCTCAGCCATGTGCTGACTCAGCTAAAATGGTTATCTGTGCTTCTCGCTGTTGCCAAAATGCTAATCCTGCTTTTGCAGTGCTGTTCTTCATGACAAGAGCTAATCTAAAACTTTTTTGCAGCTACAACAGGGGGTTCGTCTGAACCCCCCGAACCCCCCCTGGCTACGGGCCTGCAATCATAAGCATTAGTACAGCAATAAGCACTTTACTACTAATTCTGCAATACAGGTTTGTTAATCAGTGTGCATAACTAATGTTTATATAGTCCTGCAGGCTTCACGAGGTAGTTGAAGCTGTCATTTAACACCAGGATCTTTGGCATCAATAAAGAAAATTTAGTTAACCTTCCTTGCTGTTGGAGAAGTCTTTGGATAGCGGTTTAGTCTTATCCTGCTAAGCGTTTGCTAGAAATGAGCAGAGTTGCTCATAGCCACCTTTTTATTTCATTTTGACCACACCTGCTTTCAATGAAGATTAGGCTATTTAACTTTAATAATAGTTAGACGACCCTATGCCTGTACATACATACAGACAGACAGACCTTTTCTCATCTTAGTGGGCTTCGCCCAATTATTGTATTGTTTATATAGCTAATTTACTGAGCATTGTGTGTAACCTCACCTCCATACACATGCAACTCATTTTTTAGAAATTAATTTTTATAAAAAAAACAACAACAACACTACTCTTGATTCTACACAATGAATAAAAACTTGCAAGCATTATTCTATAGCTACTGAGCATAAATCTCATAATAGCTAACAGGAACATCTTCATTATCAGTTCCCTCATCTCCACACACCCTCAACTCAATATAGTCAGTAGTGGTAGTGTTACCATAGTCTCTGTGAAACCATGGGATACCAGGAACATTACAACAAGCTGTTTCTTCAGAACCACAATCTTGACCATCCCAGAGTGGATCAGATGTATACAATTGCTGTTGATATGTTCCAGAAACAAGTGCTGTTTCACAGTAATAATGATCACCAACAAATGATTGAGCTTGTTGTGTAGAATCGTCAGCACAAGGACAAGTGTAAGTAGGATATTGAGCTCCATTAAGTCCAGCCATTAATGTCCAGACATGTTGACGAGGAGACCCACGAGTAATACTTACACCATCAACATAATCAGCATTCAAATTACTGTGATTAGTACCATGATTGTATACTGCATCAGGAGATGCATATTGATATCCAGTTACTCTACCACACACCTGAGAATAACTGATACCATTAGATGGGAACTGAACTGATACGCAGCTACCACTGCTTGTTACTGGTCTACCACAAGCTCTAACTCCTTCTGACTGGTACAGTCTAAACCCAGAAGGACAGTTCACTGTAGAGTCATTCATATCCAGATATGCTATTCTTGTCCATCCTCCTCCTGAACCACACAACTCCTCCATATTACAGTAAGCAGTATACGTTGATCCACTAGCTGATACTAATATATAATAACCCGATGGACTGGTAGGTAGCAGATTTTTTATTTGCTTGCAAGACATTGCAGAACCAAATGATGAATTATGTGCCAATAAAAGGTGTATCATGACCAAAAATGTATCATCAACTACTCCAGCAGTAGAGGTACTGGTGTCTTGTATATTAGAGAGAGTGTTCACTATGCTGGTATGAGATTGACTGTTAGATGTAGCAAGTGTTTCCAATAAGTTTGTATTGTTGTTCAATGAAGTTTGAATTAGAGAAAGAACTTGTGCAGAATTTCCAATTCTAGCATCAATACCATGAAAGCTGTTATTAACTTTTATCAGACTTTCCATGTTGTCCTGAGCAAGTGCATTAGTGTTTTGAGTGACATTGGTAATACGATAAAGGAGATCATTAGTATATGTATTGTTGACTTTAGTGTTGATTTCATGAGCTATACCAACCAGAAGAGCCAATTGCTCAATGCTTCCCTGCACAAGAGCCTTGGTGCTGTTAGAAATATTGTTTGTAAGAATAGTGGCCTGATGAAGTTGGTCTGTATTGTTAACTTTTGTGTTGGTTTCGTGAGCTATATCAACCAGAAGGGCCAATTGCTCCATACTTCCCTGCACAAGAGCCTTGGTGCTGTTAGTAACATTATATATAAGAACAATAGCCTCTAGAAGCTCATCTGTATTGTTAACTTTTGTCTTTATTTTTTCTGTCATACCAACTAGAAGGGCCAATTGCTCAATGCTTCCTTGCACAAGAGCCTTAGTGCTGTTAGCAACATTGTTTGCAAGAACAGCAGCCTCAAGAAGCTCATCTGTACTGTTAACTTTTGTGTTGATTTCTTCCGTTATACCAACTAGGAAAGCCAATTGCTCAATGCTTCCCTGCACAAGTGCCTTAGTGCTATTCGTAACATCATTTGTGAAGATAGCAGCCTCAAGAAGTTCATCTAGAAGGGCCAATTGTTCAATGCTTTTTTGCATAAGAGCCTTGGTATTGTTAATAACATCAATATCATCAATTCTTTTATGAATTTCTTGAGCAAAGCGAATGATGGATTCATTGCATTGACACATTTGATTGTTGTTAGTAGCAGTTAGACCATCATTTGCAGCACCAGTAGCAGCGGGACTGCATTCAGCAGATGATTGTGATATTATAAAGCCAGACATAGCCACCGAAGCGACAAGCAATAGCAATATAATGGCTAGTAGGCAAATCACTATGCGAAGTGGCCATTTGTCTTCAGTGTATTTCTTGCTGTGTTGAGGTGGTACTTGATGCTCTTGTTCTTGATTAGAAGGTAGTATCTTCATTTCGTACATCATTGTGTCATCATTTGTGGAATACTGATTCTCTTCAACGTGACTCTCCATTGTTGCTTCTATTCTAAGTAATATTTACTTCAGCTAAAGCTCTGCTTTATATACAGCCTACCACAGATTATTAAAAGTCAGGTGACTAATAGTTAACATGAATATATGACACAAGCACATGCACTCAGCTTAGATAAATGTCATAGATTCAAAAAAATTTGAGCAAATGTACTACATGTACATGTATATAAGCAGAAGTATAGACCTTTTAGTAGGCTTTAGATGTAACATGACTTTCAGAGTATTAGCTACATGTAAAACTTATTATTTACAGTATTGTATTATAATTACATTCTTCTCTATTTTCAATATGGAGAAGTAATGCAAGAGTATACATGTACATGCATTCAAATTACTTCAATGATTTGTTGATCAATTGTGTAGAGTACCTCATTGATTATGTAAAACTAAAACACACTTATTAATTCATCAACGCCAACAATGAAATTAGAACTTACTAATTTTATAAGCACTTAATTTATTGTATGGTGTTTGTATAGTAACTAGTAAGTTTTGACATGTAATTGGCTCAGAAGTAAGGCGCTATGTTTTATGATGTAAATCAGTTCACTTTTCTCTTTAACAATATCACCTAGAGTAGATAATAGTTAGAGAGAGTGTCGAACTGCACTATGCTAGCTGGAATATGACCGCGTAGAACTAAGTCACGTGAGACCTGAAGCGTGGGTGTACCTACTAAAAGCACGTGTAGAAGTTTGCATAAAGAACAGTGGAGAACACTTGAAGAAGCTTTAGACATCATACTAGTGCACTTTATAATCCCGCTGAAGCCTGTTATGCAGTACAGCTATAGCAGAGACTCCAAAACGGCCAGTAAACCTTGTTGAGCAAACTAGGCAGGGATTTTTCCCTACTCAGCCACACCCAGTATGTGAGAATTCTCAAAGATGCACAAGAAAGTTCTACGTGGTCATATTCCAGCTAGCATAGTGCAGTTCGACACTCTAACTATCATCTACTCTTGATATCACTTATAGTATAGTACACGTTTGTGTATGTAGCATGACATTAGCATTTTTAGATGATATAGAGGAGATCGTGATATCAACTTTATATACATGCAGTATCATTAGCCAGTATGTATTATAAGTTGCATTCTTCTTTATTTCTAAATAATTATAATACATGTATGATACATATTCATGCAAGAGTATGTTTATCATCAGTTGCAGAAGTGATCGAGCCTGATTGATTGCATGTACGTAAAATGCAATTATTTGGTGGACGACAACAAGGAAATTAGAACTTACTAATTTTGTAAGCACTTACACGGAATGCATCTCTTCTGTATGCATAGCAATTAAGTAGTAAACTTAGACATATAATTAGTTACGCTCAGAAGTAAGGCGCTAGATCATGCTGCAGTTCTGACCACAACCACTGTTATTGCATGAAGTGCGCAATTATTTTATTTATAATATTTAATTAAAGTACAAAGGTTAAGTCAATCCTTAGACTACTGCATGTTTAAACCAGGCTGTAAGTTATGGACTGATGTGATAATTTTTCATAATTATTGTATTGTTTATATAGCTGATTTGCAAAGCAATTGTATGTAACCTCACCTCCATACACGTGCAACTCATTTTTTAGAAATTAATTTTTATTAAAAAAAACAACACTACTCTTGATTCTACACAATGAATAAAAACTCACAAGGATTCGGTGTTCTACAGCTACTGAACATAAATCTCATAATAGCTCACAGGAGTGTCTTCATTATCAGTTCCCTCATCTCCACACACCCTCAACTCAATATAGTCAGTAGTGGTAGTGTTACCATAGTCTCTGTGAAACCATGGGATACCAGGAACATTGCAACAAGCTGTTTCAGCAGAACCACAACTTTGACCATCCCAGAGTGGATCAGATGTGTACAATTGGTATTGCCAGCCACCAGTAGCAACAGCTGACTCACAGAAATAATGATCACCAATGAATGATTGAGCTTGTTGTGTGGAGCCAGTGGCACAAGGACAATTGTGATTAGTATTCACACTTTGTTCATAATTTCCTGCCATTAGTGTCCAGACATGTTGACGAGGAGACCCACGAGTGATACTAACACCATCAACATAATCAGCATTCAAATTATTGTGATTAGAACCATGTCCATTGTGCACTGCATCAGGAGATGTATATTGATATCCAGTTACTCTACCACACACCTGAGAATAATTGATACCATTAGATGGGAACTGAACTGATACACAGCTACCACTGCTTGTTACTGGTCTACCACAAGCTCTAACTCCTCCTGACTGGTACAGTCTAAACCCAGAAGGACAGTTCACTGTAGAGTCAGTCATATCCAGATATGCTAGTCTTGTCCATCCTCCTCCTGAACCACACAACTCCTCCATATTACAGTAAGCAGTGTAATATGAACTGGAAGTTTTCAGTAGATACACACCAGATGGGCTGTGGAGTTGTTCCTGTTTGATCTCATTACAAGATGTAGGTAGTAGTTCTTGTACCACTATTAGTATATCATCAACCACTCCAGCAGTAGAGGTACTGGTGTCTTGTATATTAGAGAGAGTGTTCACTATGCTGGTATGAGATTGACTGTTAGATGTAGCAAACATTTCCAATAAGTTTGTATTGTTGTTCAATGAAGTTTGAATTAGAGAAAGAACTTGTGCAGAATTTTCAATTCTAGAGTCAATACCTCGAACACTGTTATTAACTTTTATCAGACTTTCCATGTTGTCCTGAGCAAGTGCATTAGTGTTTTGAGTGACATTGGTAATACGATAAAGGAGTTCAATAGTATATGTATTGTTGACTTTAGTGTTGACTTCTTGTGCTATACCAGCCAGAAGGGCCAATTGCTCAATGCTTCCCTGCACAAGAGCCTTGGTGCTGTTAGTAACATTGTATGTAAGAACAGCAGCCTCAAGAAGCTCATCTGTACTGTTGACTTTTGAGTTGATTTCATGAGCTATATCAACCAGAAAGGCCAATTGCTCCATACTTCCCTGCACAAGAGCCTTGGTGCTGTTAGTAACATTGTTTGCAAGAACAGCAGCCTCAAGAAGCTCATTGGTGACTTTCCAATTGATTTCTTCAGTTATATCAAACAGAAGGGCCAATTGCTCAATCCTTCCCTGCACAAGAGCCTTGGTGCTGTTGGTAACATTGTATATAAGAACAGTAGCCTCAAGAAGCTCATTGGTGACTTTCCAATTGATTTCTTCAGTTATATCAACCAGAAGGGCCAATTGCTCAATACTTCCCTGCACAAGAGCCTTGGTGCTGTTAGTAACATCATTTGTCAGAACAACAGCCTCAAGAAGCTCATCTGTATTGTTGACTTTCCAGTTAATTTCTTCAGCTATATCAACTAGAAAGGCCAATTGCTCAATACTTCCCTGCACAAGAGCCTTGGTACTTATAATAACATTGTTTGTAAGAACAGCAGCCTCAAGAAGCTCATCTGTACTGTTCACTTTTGTATTGATTTCTTCAGCTATATCAACTAGAAGGGCCAATTGCTCAATGCTTCCTTGCACAAGAGCCTTGGTGCTGTTAGTAACATTGTTTGCAAGAAGAGCAGCCTCAAGAAGCTCATCTGTATTGTTAACTTTTGTGTTAATTTCATGAGCTATATCAACTAAAATGGCCAATTGCTCAATACTTCCTTGCACAAGAGCCTTGGTCATGTTGGTAACATTGTTTGCAAGAACAGCAGCCTCAAGAAGCTCATCTGTATTGTTGACTTTCCAGTTAATTTCTTCAGCTATATCAACTAGAAAGGCCAATTGCTCAATACTTCCCTGCACAAGAGCCTTGGTACTTATAGTAACATTGTTTGTAAGAACAGCAGCCTCAAGAAGCTCATCTGTACTGTTCACTTTTGTATTGATTTCTTCAGCTATATCAACTAGAAGGGCCAATTGCTCAATGCTTCCTTGCACAAGAGCCTTGGTGCTGTTAGTAACATTGTTTGCAAGAAGAGCAACCTCAAGAAGCTCATCTGTATTGTTAACTTTTGTGTTAATTTCGTGAGCTATATCAACTAAAATGGCCAATTGCTCAATACTTCCTTGCACAAGAGCCTTGGTCATGTTGGTAACATTGTTTGTAAGAACAGCAGCCTCAAGAAGCGCATCTGTACTGTTAACTTTTGTATTGATTTCTTCAGCTATATCAACTAGAAAGGCCAATTGCTCAATGTTTCCCTGCACAAGAGCCTTGGTACTGTTAGTAACATTGTTTGTAAGAACAGCAGCCTCAAGAAGTTCATCTGTACTGTTAACTTTTGTGTTAATTTCATAAGCTATACCAACTAGAAGGGCCAATTGCTCAGTACTTCCCTGCACAAGAGCCTTGGTGCTGTTAGTAACATTGTGTGTAAGAACAGCAGCCTCAAGAAGTTCTTCTGTACTGTTAACTTTTGTGTTGACTTCTTCAACTATATGAACCAGAAGGGCCAATTGCTCAATGCTTCCCTGCACAAGAGCCTTGGTGGTGTTGGTAACATCATTTGTAAGAACAGCAGCCTCAAGAAGTTCATCTGTACTGTTAACTTTTGTGTTGACTTCTTCAACTATATGAACCAGAAGGGCCAATTGCTCAATGCTTCCCTGCACAAGAGCCTTGGTGGTGTTGGTAACATCATTTGTAAGAACAGCAGCCTCAAGAAGTTCATCTGTGTTGTTGACTTTTGTATTAATTTCTACTAGAAGGGCCAATTGCTCAATGCTTCTCTGCACAAGAGCAAGATCAATATTACCAATCCTTTTATGAATTTCTTGAGCAAAGTGAGTAATAGATTCGTTACATAATTGGTACATTTGATTGTCAGTAGCAGTCAGACCAGCACTAGTAGCACCAGTAGCAGTGGCACTGCATTCAGCAGATGATTGGGATATTATAAAACCACACATGCCCACTAAAGTGATAAGCAGTAGCAACATAATGGCTAATAAGCATATCACAATACGGAGTGGCCATTTGTCTTCAGTGTATTTCTTGCTGTGTGTAGGTGGTACTTGATACTGATGCTCTTGCTCTTGATTAGAAGGCAGTGCCTTCATTTCATACATCATTTCTTGCAGCACTTCATCACTTGTGGAATACTGATTCTCTTCAATGTGACTCTCCATTGTTTCCTTTATTCTGAAAGAACTGCAGCAATAGCTAAAGCTCTGCTTTATATACAGCCTACCACAAATTATTAAAGTCAGGTGACTACTAGTTAATATGAGTATATGGCACAAGCACATGCACTACAGTACAGAGTCTTGGCCAATTTTTGCCAAAAATGAAAAGGAAGAGTTGTTCATTTTTATAATTTTTCCTGATATATAAACTTATGTTGTGTAGAAAGCTTGAACTGATCCGATCAAATTTAGATTTTTTATGAATTTTTAAAAGTTGCTAAAAATCCAATTTTGATTGGGATCACTCACAAATGATCAACATCAAAATGAAATTAGAACTTAATAATTTACTAAATACTCACTGATGAAGTTCTTATTTTGTATAGTGTCTGTGTAAGTTTTGACATATAATTAGTTAGCCTCAGAGGCAATTCTGACCACAATCACTTTACTGCATGAAGTGAGTGTTCCTTGATTATTATTAATGATATTTTAAAAAATAGCTGTATTTGCAAATTAAAGCACAATTTACTAAATGCTAGTTAATAGCCCTAATGGCTGTCAACACAATACTATAGGATCACTACTAGCCCTAATGGCTTAACTGCATGCATGCTATAGGTATAGCAATTCATTTGGCATACAGTTCACACTTACACAGAATGCACCTCTTCTGTATGCATAGTAATTAAGTAGTAAACTTTGACATAATAATTAGTTACGCTCAGAAGTAAGGCACTAGAACATGCTGCAGTTCTGACCACAACCGCTCTTATTGCAAGAAGTGCGCAATTATTATATTTAGAATATTTTAATTAAAAGTACAGAGGTTAGGTCAATCCTTATACTGTGTTTACACTAGCTTCTTTAACTGAGCCAGCCCTGTTTAAAGTGGGCCAGCACAGTTTCATTTGATAGTGTAAACAGTAATCAAACTGAGCTGGGCCAAACAAGGCCAGCATGGTTAGTACAGCAGGGCCAGCTCAGTCTGGTTCAGCATGGTTTGGCCCACTTCTGTAGTGTAAACGCAGCATTAGACTACTACATGTATAAACCTATAAGTAATGGACTGATTCCATTTTTTAAAATAATAAAACATTAAGGAGCTCGTCCCCCCCAGGCACACTATTAATGTGCTGTATGACCTTCCTTGCTGCTAGAGAAGTCTTTGGATAGCAGTTTAGTGTTATCTTGTTGAGCATTTGCTGGAAATGAGCACAGACCGAATAGCTGCCATTTTATTTCATTGTGACCACACCCACTTTTAATGCAGATTAGGCTATTTAACTTTAATAATAGTTAGACAATACGGACTCACTCTCATCTCAGTGGACTTTGCCCAATTATTGTATTGTTTATATAGCTGATTTGCTGAGCATTATATACAACCCCACCTCCATACACGTGCAACTCATATTTTAGAAATTAATTTTATAAAAACAACAACAACACTATACTCTTGATTCTACACAATGAATATAAACTTGCAAGCATTGTTCTATATAGCTACTGAACATAAATCTCATAATAGCTAACAGGAGTGTCTTCATTAGCAGTTCCCTCATCTCCACACACACTCAACTCAATATAGTCAGTAGTGGTAGTGTTACCATAGTCTCTGTGAAACCATGGGATACCAGGAACATTACAACAAGCTGTTTCAGTAGAACCACAACTTTTACCATCCCAGAGTGGATCAGATGTGTACAACTGGTATTGCCAGGCATCGCCAACAATTGCTGTTTCACAGTAATAATGATCACCAATAAATGATTGAACTTGTTGTGGAGAATCATTAGCACAAGGACAAATGCGTGAACTATATGCAGCTCCATTAAGTCCAGCCATTAGTGTCCAGACATGTTGACGAGGAGACCCACGAGTGATACTAACACCATCAACATAATAGCTATCCAAGTTATTGTGATTAGAACCCTCATTGTACACTGCATCAGGAGATCCATATTGATATCCAGTTACTCTACCACACACCTGAGAATAACTGATACCATTAGATGGGAACTGAACTGATACACAACTGCCTCCACTTGATGTTGCTCTACCACAAGCTCTAACTCCTCCTGACTGGTACAGTCTAAACCCAGAAGGACAGTTCACTGTAGAGTCATTCATATCCAGATATGCTAGTCTTTTCCATCCTCCTCCTGAACCACACAACTCCTCCATATTACAGTAAGCAGTATACGTCGATCCATTAGCTGATGCTAATACATAATAACCTGATGGACTTGTTGGAAACAGATTTTTGATTTGC